TTGCAATTTATGGAAACATTATTTGCAAATATTATGCGCTATACAGCACACAGTCATGTGGCTCTTTAGAAAYGTGGCTCACATTTCTAAAAACTGCATTTGTGGGCAACTTTATAAGAAACTCTGGTCTGGATGAAGAGGCAAACATCTGTCTACTGCAAAGGTGGTTAAGCTACAACCATTTTGAAATTGTCTTCAGTTCTGATGGGAGTGACAGAGGGGAAGTCTTTTTGTTTTTCTCAKCCTGGTGATTGTTGGCTCCCTGGGGCAGCAGTACTCCTGTCTTCACAAGATACTTCACATTTTTGATCTGACTTTGGATCTGATGAAACTGCGTGAACTTACACTTTCCTTATGACCCTTAAATTAGCAACCCAGCTTAAGAGCTATTCTTTATACATATATTTCACATACTCTGTCCTGAGGTAAAGGAGGGTCTGTAATACTTTAGTTCAGGTTAGTTTTATTTGTTTCTTTCGTGTGTTCTTCTTGCTGATTCATAGCAGATATTTATGGATCCACCGTTGGACTAATATGCATAATGAGAGTCACCCTACAGTATCCACCTAAAAATCACCGTTCATCCATAAAATTTAACTTGTCTTTCTGTTATTTCCATCATTTTTACTTTTTGACCAGAATAGCCAACTACTCAAACTGTTTGTAAGCCTTAATGATTTTCTTCAGAGTGAGGGTTTTTCTGATATTGCATCTTCAAATAAATTGCATTGCGTTTACTGTGGATAATATAAACTATTTTCTCCTGGTGATGCACTGACATTTCTGTGCAGTGATTGCTCACACAGTTTACCAGTAGCAGGAACATCTTGCTTACAGAAGTTCAGTGAGTCTCTCTGCACTACAACTAATCTCATTAACTTAATTTCTGTACCAAAACACTGATATTACATAGTCTCTCTTGCTAGAGTGCATTTGGATTCTGATATGTTAATCCAAGATCAGAGTATCAGCACTTGTTTAAATGCATGTGCACACACAGACGTACAATTTTATCCTTACTGGCTCCAGAGAATAAAGACTAGCAACTTCTAAAAATATGTATTTTCCTTCCCTCTCTCATATGAAAAGCAAGAGAAGGATGTGGACCATGCTACACTGCTAACATCTTTTTCTCACGTGTTCCCTAGTGTTCCCTAGAATCACTCAGAACTCCAAATTCCACCTATAACTGTTTTTAAAGGGTGAATGTTTTGTCAACCGTTGTCAACCACCAGAAGGCAAATGTTTCTTGTATAAAGCAAGAGTTATGTTATATAAGGAAAAAAAAGCTGTGCCTCTAACTGAACAAGATTCTTTATGGAGCTAACTCCCAAATTTAAAGACATGCACATGTGCTGTGCTGCATTGCTGCTAAAGAAACAGAGCATACACTAAACTTAAGCAATTGCAAATGCACTTTGTTCAACAGGTTTACAGTAATTCTCATGCCTATGTGCAGTACTGGTCTAAGCCTGCAAGATTTAACAGCATTAATAAATAAGTTGTATTTTACCTGTCATCCACTCTCAGCATCCARTCCCCAACTGCACCATCTCAGTTGTACCATAACAAATGTTTGCACACCATGTCAGGAGTCTTGGCTGCCAAAAAAGCTACTTATCAAAATAAAAGGGTGATTTTTTTCATTCAGAGCCGTTTCCCAAGGCAGCTAATAACCTGCATGTTTTTGCTGTGACAACGCAAGGAAAAATACAGAGAAAAAATGAGCCAGCTTAAGCAATGCAGCCAATGCCTGTCACACCCTAGGCAAGGCAGGCAATCAGCTGCAGCTCTCTGGGTATTCAGCACGGCCAGTAACTTCAGTTACACCCTGCCTTCTGTAATACTTGATTTGCACAGACTTGTGGCAGTAACACTTACAAATCTGTGTGCTCCCAGGAACATCACAACAGTGTACCAGCCACTCTGTGTAACCCAATGGGCCCAAAGGAGAGATAAAGCAACAAACACCTCCTGGGCACCACTCCATGTTCTGGGGACGCGATTCAAAGAGGAGTTTGTGTGCCTCAAGAAGCCCTTGGCTTTTTTCCTTCAGCTGCAACAGCGGGCCTCGTAACAGCTGGCCTAGTGAAACCTCCCTAAACCCTGCTTCTTTAGACTATCATAGCTACAACAATACTGCTATTGCAATATTTTTTATAAAGGAAAAGAACATCTTTAGGGTAAACAGCTAAAAGGGTAGAAGCTTCGTCTATCAAATTGTTATCTGCCTAAGTAACTCTTCATAATTGATTCATTCATGCAGCTTTCTGGGACATATTCCTTCACTCTACATTCCTAGGCACAGGGCAGTTCCCTTGCTCCTAGTCCTTACCACCTTTTCCTATGTATTTGCTCACAGAAAGTGATGACTAACAAATTAGTTAATTTGCCTTTAAAAAGTGGATGGYCACATACTAAATTTTAACGTTTTTACAAGAGGAAATACACTGCATATTCAGTACCAGATTCTTTTAATGTTTCACTTATCAAGTAAAAAAGTATGTAAAATTCATGATTAAAATGATTATAAAAGGTAAATTGAAGATTTAAGATTAAGATTGCAATTTAAGCAAGGTGTTATAGCAGTTCCTCTTTTTCATATGCCTCTGATATAGTGTCTATGCCTGTTCCTGATCACCCTTGACTCTCACTTTAGCTGTTCCAAGTGTCAACATCATTCTGTAAGCTGTACAGGCATCCATGGCTACCTATTTTCACACATCTGAAATTAGTAGTTGTTTATCTGCTTTTTAATGTTGAAAAGGGCAACAACAGACAGGCTGAAACTCATGTAAGGCTCCCTGGACTTAACTGTAAGCAAAATAGAAGGATGATATGAAAGCCAAAATAGTTAGAAAAAGAAAAGGCATCTTCTTACTTTTAAGGCAATAATGATTTTTTTTTTCAAAACATAGGCAGAAAAGAGATTTGATTAATGTAACTGAACAGAAGACAAGTTATATTCTAAAATAAAATGATGCTGGAAAGCAAACTGCCCTGGTTTGGAAGTAGCAAAGGCCTTTTACTATCTATACAATCAGCTGGATTGCCACAAACCCTTTTTTACTCACTAAGAGTCCCATATGTCATTGTCAAGAAACTGAAATCAATGAGAGTCATTTTCCTTACATCTAATGACCAAGAGATCTACAATCATTGATGGACTATATCATAATTTTATACCAGGCTCAACTTCTGGCCGAAGAGTACAAAAATGATGTTGCAGACAAGGAGAAAACATGTGAAGAAGCTTCTCCAGTCTGCTTCTGTCACCTAGACAGGGGGTCTACTGCATGACTGTAGCATGAGCACAGCTTTGACCTGTTTGATTAAAAGCAGGGTTTGTCCTAGTACTGACACCAAAGATGATTAAAAGTATCTGTGCAATAGCTCATCTTTGAGACAAGTTCAATACTAACCAGCACAATATACAAGAGATTTTTTCTCTACAAAAGAAAAATGTTCATTCCACACTACTGAATCTTTCACTATGTCTAGCCCAATAGCCTTGGCCTGCACTTTTCAATAAATGAAATCAAAATGTAARCTGCAGTATGTCATGGAAATAGGTGATCAAAGAACTTAGACATGACAAGCAGTCTGTTTTACTAGCATACAAATGTAAGATGAACAGTCTAAATTTGATTTTAAATAGGTACTTTAACATTTTTCTTTAAATTAGCCAGAGCACAACAGGAAATATATTTCAGCTTTATTCTTTGACCCTGACTACAGGAGAACACATATCCGATCCAATATAGAATTAGGCTGGATGAATAATAAGCAACTCAATGTAAAGCCTTGAAGTAAAATCAGAGAATGACAGAAAGGAAAAAAATCTTTTTCAGAAAAGTAGAAATGTCAAGAAGAGAATATTATCAGATATGAATTTTTGCATGATGGAGCCCTGACATGATCAAATGTATCCCCTGAGACTCAAAGGCTCAGTCTCGTATGCAGATAGTGGAGAAAAGTGGGCTTCCTGAAGACTGAAATGAAGGTGTCCTTCCAAACAGGACATTTATATCAGTTATAGTTCATTAATAGAAATATCAATCAACAGCAATAAGGAAGAAATTCATTTTAGTAAGGCAGATTTTTCTAAGGTCTCACACTGTTATCAGTAAGACTCTCTACTGCAAACAAATAAAACACAAAAGTCTGGATTTCATGCTGCCTCACACCTGCCTGGTAGCCAAATGCAGGCTGGAAGTTGGATTATTCACACAAAACATTTTCTTTCGCCCAAGGGCAATTTGTAGGTGAGACAGAGACTACATGTTGACACTTCTGCTCTCCACTGGCCTTTATGATAAGGAGCGGTGATCAGGATATCCCAATTCTCCACCTACGCAGACTTGCCACAATGTTCTCTACCTGTCTTCCATGGGCATACATTAATCAGACGGCTATATCTACAGTTCCAATCCGCAACCTCTCTCGGGAGTCAGTTCCTGATTCTTAAAGCTTTCTGCTTTGTCACATGTACAGAACTTGCAAGTAACAGTGTTTCACAGTGAGCTCTGCTTTCTTCTGGCCTCAGGTGCTGCCTTTCTTAGGGTGTAAGCAGCAGCCAGAAACAAATGCTCTAATAATTTGTTGCTTTCAGCATTTTCTCACTTGCTTAGACCCTAAGTTTTAACAACAAGCCTACTGGAAGTGAAGATTTGCTTCTTTCTCAGTGGCCCCACTCTGATGTCCAGAGTACTTTTAGGCTCTTCAGAATTCCCGTATCACATCACACTTCATTAACGTTGGATTATTTTCAGAGTTTGCAATGAGTTATCAACAGCCCTAGGCAAACTGCTCACTATCCAGCGCAAGAGTCCACCCACACACAGAATAAGCAGAATCTAATATTCTTCTCCCAACCCCTCACTTGGTAAAGCCAAGTTTCTATTTCCATAGGGTTTAGTAGCAATGGTGTTTTGGGAGCAAGGAAACTTTTGCGGGAGGAGACAAACTGAAATCTTTCCAGGGCAATACAGTTGTCTTACCTTTCTCAAAGACCATTTCCCTGCTCAAAAGTGTCTTGTTATCTTTGATCACTTCTGCCCTTACAGTGACTTGAGCTGGACTGTCCGGCAGCAGCGCTACCCCAACAGTCACATTTGTCCCGGGCCTGATGTTCCAGGGAACTGTCACCAGAAACGTCGGTCTGGAAAATCCAAACAGAAGGAAAAGGGGACACGCACAAGGAATAACGTACAATGCAGACACCAAAGCTTGTTTACGCTCCCCTCCCCGCATTTTGAGCCCAGCACCACATACCTGGCGGCCGCGGAGCTGCCGAGGAGGAGGATGGGAACGAGGATGAAGAAGAAGAGGAGGCGGCTGGAGGCGCCGCGGCCCCGCTCCATGGCGTTCCGTGCGCTCCGACCGAGCAGCGGCGGGAGCAGCCGGGGCGGCGGCGCTGGGAGGGAGGGAAGGAAGGAGGGAGCGGGAAAGGAGGGAGACGAAGGCAGCAGATGTGAGTCACGCTCCGGGGCGGCCCGAGCACCGCAGGGCGTTCCCGAGGCGGCGGTGGGCGCGGGCAGAGCGGCCCCAGGAGCCCCCTTGGAGCAGCCCGAGCAGTTTTGTGCCTGCTCTTGGAAGGYGCTGGCTGAAGGCCCGGCCTGGCGCGGCGGGGGCCGGCTGTGTCTGGGATGCGCTGGCGCGGGGCGCAGTGCCCAGGCGGACGGGGACAGCAGCGCTGGCAGGAGCGCCTGGAGTCGCGTAGCTGCTTCAGTGGGAGCCAGCTGGTAACACAACTCCGGCTCGTCATGCCCCGCGTGTGCAAAAGTAGGTTACGTGTGCGCACGCAGCGTCTCTGACTACAAAAAGTGCAGTAAAGGAGCCTGGTGAGAGTCCTCTCCCCTAGCACACACAGTGGAGCTCTGTAGGCTGCACACATCCAACAGCGTTTTCACTGACTGGAGCCTTTGCAACCCTGCACAAGCCTCAGAAATTCCACCCAGCACTTGGAGTTGGCCTCCTCAGAAATGCTGAGCCAGCATATTGTGCCCTCTGTTACGTGGATGCTGATTTCGGTGGATGCTGCTTCGTTCCTCTGCACTCTGTCAGCATTCCCGTTTACAGCTGTCCACACTGGGATTTCGGTATGCAGGCGGATGCTCTTACTTTGTTTGACCTATGTAATTCAAAGCAAAACAGTGGCTTGGTTTGTGCTAAATGGATAAAATTAAATTTACAGGTTGCCTAGGCATGACAAGTTTTACCAGCTTCTGCTACACTGTACAAAACATCTTCAGCTGGCTTCAGCTTTTCAGGTGAGAAAAATGTCCCCTACAGAAAAAGCAGATTAAACTAGTTATGTTACTAAGCTGCTAGTAGATCTGTGTTCCACTAAGCAAAAGATTTCAGCTGGGATAAACATCATTTTCAGGGCTGTTGAAATGACCATATAGCAAGGTCTCAGGCCTAAGGAGGTTCTAAATTCTGGCTTTGACAAACACCTGAGAGATTAATTTGTGCACGGAACTGGAAGCAGGGAGCCGCACAGCAACTTACTGAGATCACGATGTGAAGAAAATTTGTTTTGGACCACATTTCTGCATATTAGGAATAATTCTGAAAGTGTATAACCTAGCATGAAAGAATTTAATAATTTTCAGCTGCTGCAAGCCTGTTGAAGTGGATACTCTGGAGATGCAATCTGGGAGGTAACACAGGTTGTCGTTGTGTTCGGCAGGCCAGCCAGGAAACCTCGCTGAAAAAACCTCTCTCTGTTCAGGTTCACATTTGGGAGTTAAGCAAGCAGTGCCAGACTCTAGTTTTACACCATTCTGTGGTATGTCACCATAACAAAAAAAAAAAAAAAAAAAAAAAAACACTTTTAACACCTTTACTGCTCCCTAGGAACCTTATTTTGCTAATTCGTCAGATTCCCTTAAAAACATAATGTGTAAATGATGAAAAACTCATCTACAACATTGGCTAAGTTCTCCAACAGATAACAACTATACTTTTGTCTGTATCCATGCTACTTAGTTTAAAACCACCATACATATAGATGTGTGTGTGTATAGATATAGATATATAGATATGACTGGAAAATCCAAACAGTGGATATATAGATACATTGATATCAATAGGGATTAAAATCACCCCTTTGAGTTGCAGTCTGAATGTATTCAAAATAAAGATGGGTTTACATAAAAACAGAAAACAGAAATCATTCCTTAATGAGTCTGGGAAACAACTTTTGCACTGGTAAATAAGAAGAATCCTGGGACCTGGCAAATGAGTGATTTTTTTCAAATTCCCAATTGTGTGAAGGCTGGATAGAAATTAATATATGTGCTGCATATATCACATGAATAATGTGATTTTCTCTAATATCACATGAAGAAAATACTGTGTAGCTATTGTGAAAAGCCAATCACTCCAATAATTGAAATATTGAGGGAAATCTCAATAATTACCTCAGTGACAACTTGAATGGTCAATGCCTTGTCCTGCTTTTAGCATGAGAAGGTGAATTGGGTTGAATTCAGCTGGATTCGGCAGTATTCATTTGGACTCTGGTGCAAACAAAGCATGTTTCCATGAAATGAGTCACATTGAGGAACATCTGAAGAGCTAGGCTATGAGGATATTTGAACTAGAAGACCCCAGTAGTCATTCCCAGCCAATATTCTGTCTTTTCAAAAGCTTAGCCAGTAGCCTTATGCATCGCTGAGCTCAAGGCCTGCAACAAAGCTCATTTAGGTGATGAATAAATCTTTAATTAATCTCAATAAGCTTTGGATAAGGTCCTAGAAGAAACTGTGATTGAGCAACCCATTGAACTAAGAAGGAAGCAAAAATTTGCCTTATTTCTCATAGTGAACAGACAAGAATTATAATGAATCCTAAAAATAGGTAGATATAAGATTATTCTTTGCTATTAGGTGGACGGATACCTTGCTTAGATGTAAACCTGAAGAATTTGTGCTTGCTTAAAAGGATTGAAAGGAATATAGGATATAAAGCTCTTACAGAAATGTTCAGTAATAACACTTCAGATGCTGGTTCTGATGATGGAATCCATCAAAATGATTTGTGCTGACAGAGGGAGTGCCAATGAGTGAAACTTGCCCTGAGCTATCAGGGTGGAGTTTCATGAAAAACTGGTCTGTGTTACAATTTAGACTTTTTTCCTTGGCACCCAAAGTCATCTCTTTCAATAAATACAATTATTTGCAAGTTCACTTAAAGTTTTAACGGTTACTCAGACATAAGGAGCAGGATTCACCTGGCCAAATGGGGGTCTATAAACTGGGTCTCTCCTGGGACCATAAGAATGAGCTGAAAATTAATTTCCTAAGAAAAGGTTGTTAAGGCAACATCCTAACAGCTGAGATCTAGTCTATCAGGAGGAAAAAAAAATATGTGAGAATAAAATAAAAAGTACTCAGTAATTTTTTGAAGTCCATGAACTTTGCAGACCTGGAAGCATTCCTTCACAGACATTTCCATGGTCTTTTCCTGCAGAAATGATCAGAAAATATTAATGAAAATAATGGCATTACATTTGCCAAGAAAAGGCACAACTCATCTTTTAGTCACTAAGGCGAACAGGTCCACCCGATCAAATGTTAGAGTGAAGGGGGCTTTGCTGATCCATGTGAATTTGCCCACTCACAACACCTTCAGCTTCCATGATGCATGCCCACGGCCACCTTCTTTCTCTTTTTCTCTTTCCTTTCCTCTTTACTTATTTCTTCCTTTCCTTTTTTCTTCCTTTCTGACCTTTCCAGGTTTTATTTCCTTACTTTTCCAGTCCTTACTTTTTTCCTTTTCTTTTTCTTGTTTTTCTCTCTTGTTTTTATTTCCTCTTTTAATTCTTGCTTCTTTTTTGCTTGCTTTTCATTCCCAAATGATTCTTTTTGCTGTTTCCTACTTTTTTTTCTTTCCTTCTGCCACCTTATTTCCTTCCTTAGTTCTGTCTTTTTCATTTTCCTTTTTGCTTGGCATTTTTTCTTCCCTCTTTTTTTCCATCCATCTCAATTTTCATTATCATTTCCTCTTCCTTGATATCCTATCTCCTGATGGCTTTCCCTTTTTTATTTGCTTGCTTGCTGGCTTGCTCACTTGCTTTCCCTCTGGGTTGCTTTCCCTTGCCTTTGTTTCTTTTTTCTTTCCTTCAGCCTCCAGTTTTTACTTTCTTCTTCCCTTTCCACATTTCCTTTTTCTTCCTTTTCTTTTTTCTTCCTTATACTTTCCTTTTCCTTATTTTCCATTTCTTCTGCATTTTCTTTGCGTTTCTCTTTCCTCTTTCCTTTCCTGGTAGTTTTCTTTCCCTGCTTTTCTTTAGGATTCCTTGCTCTCCTTTCAGGTGTTTCAGTTTCTCCTAACATGAGATTTTTCTTCATCCTTGTCTCTTGACTGTCTTAGCCCATAATGAGCAACACTGCAAAAAGCTGAGCTCTACCAGGCTTTAACATAAAGGAGGCCTCGTGTGGAGTGAGCATTGACCTTCTCACCTTCTGGCAGGTGCTGCCAGACAAAAGCTGTGAGCCATTGAAGCCCTTGCAGACATACCTGTGGAGCTGCCCCGTGTCCCCGGAGGACTCCTCAGCAGAGGGGCACCTCCTGCTGATGAGTCCTACAGGGAAAAAGCATCAGCAATGTTTGCAGCTCCCCACTGTGTTTTCTGTCCCCAAAGCTCTAGCTCTTGGATTGTGGGTGCAGTAAGAGCTGCCCAGTGCCCAGGAGAGGGGCACCCTCCACGCTACGTGCTGTTGGTGCTGCAGTGGACTTTTGCCGTGGTCGTGGGATGTGTGGGGCTGATCCAGCTGTGGCCCAACRCAGGAAGCCACTTCCACACACCTTGTTGTTCGTCCCTGCCTGCAGCTGCAGTGGCAACGTGCTGCCCATGCCAGTGTAGAGGGCAAGGTTCCTGGAGGCTGTTCTGTTGGTGGCTGAGCTCCAGATGAGGTGGTGGAGTGTGACAAGCAAGGCCTTGAGCAGGAGGCAGTTTGCCTGGGGTGGTTGGCCTGCCACCCTACACGAGCACAAATACAACTCAGGAGGTAGCGGTCACTGCCTCTTGCTGTGWGACAGAAGAAGTAAGCCCCCACAA